TAACGAACTATGATTTCCTGTTCCTTTTATGCCTTATGATATTTTATTGAAAGTTAGACAATTGAAAAAAAATGGCCATTTCTCTCGATTTTGCAAACTAGCCCCATGTAAGGGAAGACTTTCACCAATCTTTCTGGTATTAATGCTTAAGGTCATCTCAGGCCCTTTCTGGCATTTATCTTTCCTGGGCCTGTGTGTGTGTGTTTTCCTCCCTGTCCCCCAATTTTCCCATATACATAATTGCTTTTGAATTTCTTAATTTCTCTAAAAGTCTCATCCCTGCTTCTTCTCAGGGCCTTAGATGTTCTACTGTGTTCCTCTTTCCATAGTCTCTTGCCCCCAAGTGCCTATAGGTCTGAAGTTTTTCACATATCATAGCACCTGTCCCTGCTTTCAGAGACCTTCAACCTGATATTCAAACTATGCCTTTGTTTCTATTTGACTTCCAAGTCAAGCAAGAAAAGATCTGTCCCTCAGGCAGCCCCTGGACAAGCCAGAACATTGCAAACAAGTTGCACTCTTCTCCTTCTGTCCAAGAGAGGGGCTAGGAATTGAGTGGCTTCCTCTTGACTGCACTGCACCACACCAGGGAGGGGGTGGGAAAATGACAAGCAAAAGCGTAACAAAATGTCCTACTATTTTGAATATGGCTTTCTCATGTTTAGGGCATTTGTTTGGCTGCTGCAAATCCTTGGCTGGTTTCTAGAGCTCCCACAAAGCTATTGCAGTCAGTCTGTTGTTGTTTATTTGATGTTACCATGGGAGAAAAAGGGCTTGGAGCTTCCCATTCTTCCGTTTTGCTGTTTTTACCTGTCGAAGTATCTTAATTTTTAAGAAAAATTCAAAAAGATTAGCACTTAATGTATTCTTTTAAATTTTAGTTTGTGGTGATAATAATAATATTTCTTGAGCACCCACTATGTGCCAGGAACTGTTATATGCTTTACTCATTTAAGTAACTCATTTAAACTTTACTACCTTTTAGTTGGTATTACTGTCTCCATTTTAGAGATGGTAAAACTGAGGCACAGAGAGGAACCCACTGTTTATATGGGACTAAGACAGACACATGTTGGAATGGAGTTTTAAGTCTCCAATAGAGACATAAAGGTATTATGTTGGTTGAGGGAGGTGGCTACGGTAGGCCAGAGAAGCTTGCTGCACCCCACGGCACTCTCCAGTTTGTCTTGGTTCTGTAAATGCTTTAAAATGGGATTTGAGTCCTTGAGCTATGGACTGTGACCATGGCAGTGGATTAGGCAAAAGAGTGTCCTTTTCCTTTGAAGCAGGAAGTAACACATGGTGTATGATCTTCACTAGGAGGGCAAGAGAAGTGCAAACCCAGCCTTTTGGTGGGTGAATAGCCAAGGAGAGGAACTGAAATGGAGCTTCCAAGAGATGGCAGAGCTAACTCGTCGTGCAGCCAACGTCTTCACGCAGACCTGTGGCCTGCAGCAAGGAGACCATCTGGCCTTGATTCTGCCTCAAGTGCCTGAGTGGTGGCTGGCGACTGTGGGCTGCATCCGAGCAGGTCAGTGGCAAAAGGGGGCCCCAGCGGACCTCAGGCCTGGCCTAGAGCCAGTTCATCCTGGGATATTAGGTGCTGTGCACCCAGCCTGGCACCAACACGGCTCTGAAGCTCTAGCCTCAGCTCCTACACTGGGAGCACCGAGCAAGGCTCCCTGCCCTCTGGGAATTAACAGTTTCATTGGAGACAAAATGCTTCCTCTTCCCCTGTCTTCTTTCTTCTTTGCAATCTTTCTCTTTCTCCTTGATTCCCTTACAAATTCTCTTGCTCTTTCTTGTTCTCTCCCCCACACTCCCACATTCACACGCTCTCAAGCACGATGTTCATACGTCTCTCTCTCACATGCAGTCTCTCTTGCACAGTCTGGGACATTCTCACTTTCTAAAGATTCATCAGTTGTTAACACTTTTCCATACTGAGTGCACTCGCTCACTCTTTCTCTCTCTCTCACTGAATCATGTAAGCATCACTTGCGGACACTGTGACACCTATAAACAGCAGGCGATCACCCACAAACCCAGAAGCATGCATCTGCTAAGATCCAAAATGCTCCCTTTCACATAATCACAACAGAGTTATCACACAAGAAGACTAATATTGATGTTAATATTGATACAATAGGGTTAGCTGATATACATTCGTACTAAAAATCCTTGAACTGCCCCAATAATGTCCTTTACAAACATTTTTTTTCTTAAAATCCCAAACTCACTTGAGAATCCCGCATGGCATACAGTTGTCGTGTCTCCTCAATATCCTTTACTCTCTAGAATGGTCCCCCAACCTTTTCTGCCTGGCAATGACATTTTTGAAGAGTCTGAATGAGTTGTCTTGCAGAATGCTCCTGAAAAGTTCCTATTTCTGACTCTTTCCTCATGATTATATTCAGCTTAACCGCTTCTGGCAGGAGTGCTACAAGGGCAGTGTTGAGTCTTCCTGAGTGGGTCCCGTCAGGGAGTGTATGAAGCTGGTTTGTCCTCCTACTTGAGCAAGGTGGTGTTCACCAGTTCTCCTTTGTAAAGGCACCTTTTTCCTTTGTAATTGATAAGTAATCCACAGTGTAATACTTGTGGGACTGGGACTGTTCCTGTTCCCCAAACGTCTTTCACACCATGGTTTGAGCATCCATTGATGATTCTAGGATTGAATGTTACTATCATGGTTTTCTATGGGAATCTTCTGTTTCTACCATTTCTTCTATATGTATTAGTTAGAATTCTTCTGTAGAGATATCCCTTCCCCTTTTAATTATCTATTTTTAATCTACAAAAGTTAGAACCAGCATGGGACTTATGGGTTCTTTTTTTAGTTGCCTCTTTCATTTTATCATCCATCCTCATACAGCACTCTGTCATGCTTTTGATCCTATAGTCCTTCTCTCTCTCTCTCTCTCTCTCTCTCTCTCTCTCTCTGCCTCTCATATTCTCTCACAAATAAAATAGCTGATTATTTCAACTAGCTCACATGGAATCAAGCATTAACAGCAATGGCAGGAGGAGCATAGAGACGAAAACCTATGACATCTGTAGAGCTAAGAGATGGTCCATGGAGAATCTAAGACTTGCACAGAGCCCTCTGGGGTAAGCAGAATTAAAGAGAATTAGAAGCAAAGGAGGGGCACTGCACGCATGGACATAGGACTTGTAAGGGCTTAGAGTTAGGACTACCCTATATGGAGAATGGCCACTTTGAAATAGAGAGTAGCATGGCAGGAGAGAAAGATGAAGAGGAGGCAGCACCTCCAATGCCCGAATGGAGAGTGTGGTGTTTTCCTGGAGGGAAGGCACAGGCGTTAGTGCAGAGAAGAAATGTGGAAGGGAAAAAAGTCAATGCTTTATGGAATGTAGGCAAGTAACAATGTGGGGAGATGGGTGGCAGCTAGACTCACAAAAGGGCATCCAGTGGAGGAGTGGGAATGGAAGGCTGAGTGAGAACAAAGAGGCTTGAACTCATTGCTGGTGATGGAGACAGAAGGGGAGGCAGGAAAGATCAAAGGGCAATGTGGTTAGATTTGGAATAAAGGGGGAAGAGGAGATTCACGATGGCAGCAAAGGACTGGCAGAGAGGGAAGGGCTAGAGGGGAAAGATGGGGGCGGGATGCAGCTAGTCCTGATGTCGGGGACACTGTCCCATGCACGTCTACACTCCCAGACCCAGCGTAAGGTTGAGACTCCAGCAGAGTCCACTTGTTTTTAGGATGGCTCCATCAAGAGTAAAAAATGTTAGGATGAGGCTTTCAAATTTTAGTGTGCACAGGAATCACCTGGAAAACTTGTTAAAGTGCAGATTCTGATGCACTGGGTTTGGCGCAGGACCTGAGACTGTGCATCCCAGCTGTGCTGGTGCTGCTGGTTTGTGGACAAGAGGTTAAGAGGATTTCTGTGCAGACAAGCCAGGCCCAAAGCCCACAGCTGTAAAGAAAAAATAAATAAATAAACCAAAATAAGCAGTTCCTTTCTCATCACCAGGGATCATCATCATGCCAGGGACCATCCAGTTGAAGGCAAAGGACATTCTCTACCGACTGCAAGCGTCTAAAGCCAAAGCCATCATGACCACAGACACCCTTGCCCCAGAGGTGGATTCTGTGGCTCCAGAGTGCCCCACTCTGAAAACCAAGCTCCTGGTGTCTGATCACAGGCGTCACGGGTGGCTGGACTTCCGGTCCCTGATGAAGTGAGTTTCTGGTCTGATGGATATGGTCTCCGAGGGAAGATGAGAGAAGGGTAGCCAGTCCCAAGGGCTGGCAGACAGCAGCCACTTGTAGGAAGCTCACCAGGTCCGATGTCAGCAACCTTCTCTTCCCACCTGTGTCACTGATTTTGTCTGTGACCTTGGGCTTGTTCCTTCCCCTCTCTTCGGTCTCATAAAAGCTGAACTTTTTTAGGAAGCTGAACTTCCATGTTCCTCTCGTTAAAGTACACTCACCCCTGGGACCGTGCAAAGGAGAAGTATAAAGTCAGGGGGTGATGGCATAACATATTCCTTGTAGGTGGGAAATCTAAAATGTTATTTTCATATAACAAATAAATTTATAAAGAAGTTGAATGAAATATTAAAATGAATTTTTAAGGTGAAACTTGAGACTTCAAGAAAAATGGAATTGCCAGCTGTGGGGGGTGACCTGGCCTGTCACTTCCCATCTCTCAGGGCCTGAGATCTTTGAGAGACAATTTGCAGGCACAGTTAGGAAGTGTTGGAGGTAAGAAAGACCCCTGCCACCTCCAAAGCTCTACTTCTGTAAGCATGCAGGGACGTCTCACATCACACGAGCAGACTATCCTGGGTTTATTTTATTGGAGTAACCCTTGAGTTTTTAAAGCTCTTTGTGTCAACCTCTAAAGATAAACATTACAGTGAAGTTGCATCTTATGCTAGATTCTAACGTCACAGAATTTAATGCAAACAGCTTGAAATCAAGAATATTCTTGAAAACTCCATCAAATTGTCCAAAGTCAGGATAGTGCCATTTCTCAGTGAGACCAGCAGAGCTAGGGTTTTCTCCAGTGTTGGGATGATTTGCAGTTCCTTTGAACATCATGAGATGCTCATGTGTACAATGACAGTAGGCCCAAGGGCCTCTCAGTCCAAGAAAAGGATGTGAGAACCAAGGCAGATCGACAGAACCAAAGATTCTGTCTGCCACCTCAACTATATGCCAGGGCAAAGGTACACCAAATATGGTGATTATGTATGTTTCTGTAACTCTCACTCTTCCTCACTTTCTCTTCCCCGCCCCTCTTCAGTGGGATCACAGAGTTAAATTCCTATAAAACTAGCTTATGTAGAAAAAAAAAATCTTAACAGTGTGGTTAAGAGCACAGACTATGGCTCAGACAGAGTTTGAATCTTGGCTCTGCCACTTGCTAGATAGACATCTTCAGGCAAGTTAGCTAACCTCCCTGAGCCTCTGTTTCCTTATCTGCAAAATGGGCATGATTAGAGGAGTACTTGCCTCCTAGAGTTGCTCCGAGGATTGAATGAGGTCATATTTGTAAATCGCTTAAAGCATTTTAAGTGCTTTAAGCAATTTGCAAGTGCCATTTAAGTGTTTGTTAATTTTTTCTTCAATTCACTGTATATTCTCAGTGTTTCAAATGAAAAATGCCATTCCACTCGTCTGAATCACCCACAGAGTCACTTTGGTGCCTAGCACTGAGAGATCCCGTTTTTCCTCCAGTGATGCCAACTCCCAGTTTCCTGTCTATGCCTTGAGTTCTTTCTTTTGCTTCCCCAGAGGATGGAGAAAAACAGCACACATGACTTTTCTCCCTTCGTCTTGCATCTGTTTGTCTGTTTGCAGATCAGCATGCCCAGACCACACTTGTGTTAAGTCAAAGACGATGGACCCGATGGTCATCTTCTTCACCAGCGGGACCACGGGCCTCCCCAAGATGGCAAAGCACAGCCACGGATTGGCCCTACGAGCCTCCCTCCCTTCCTGGTAGGAGAGAGGCACCGCTTAGAGGCCAGACCCTAGATCTGGGACAAGGGATGTGTGTGTGCACGTGTGTGTCTGTGTGCGTGTGTGGTATATCTGTGTGTGCACGTGTGTGTGATGTGTCTGTGTGTGTGCACGTGTGTGTGACGTGTCTGTGTGTGTGCATGTGTGGTGTCTGTGTGTGTGGTGTGTCTGTGTTTGTGCATGTGTGTGCATGCATGTGTGTCTGTGCATGTGTGGTGTCTGTGTGTGCACATGTGTGTGACATGTCTGTGTGTGCATGTGTGGTGTCTGTGTGCACATGTGTGCATGCACGTGTGTCTGTGAGTGTGTGTGGTGTCTGTGTGTGTGCACGTGTGTGTGACGTGTCTGTGTGTGCATGTGGTGTCTGTGTGCACATGTGTGCATGCACGTGTGTCTGTGCATGTGTGTGGTGCCTGTGTGTGTGCACATGTGTGGGGGTGGGGGATGGGGTTGGGACAAGAGCCCTAAATAGAAGTGACGTCATCCTGTTTCTCCCTTCTGCTCTCGGAGGTCCAGGCCTCTGAGGGTCTGGGAAGGGAAGGCTGGGAATCCTAGATGTTTGCTCACAGAGGCCTCAGAACAACAAAGGCGGCTCATTTGGGTCCTACCCGAGCATCCTCACAGGTGTGGAGAACACGTGGGTGAAGCAGCAGGCAAATGACAAGCCTTGATTCTCCCAGCAGCAGCTCCACAGTTTATTGGGAAAAGACAGAACATTCCAGCAAGGTGACCTGAGGTGATAAGACTCCCTTTTCTCCGCCACTGTGGGCAAATCAGACTTGGAGCTTCCCAATGATGAACTGCTGGGCAGGAAAGTATCTGGAGCCGAGCTATGCCAAGCCACGGCCCCCAACCTAGAACAAACAATACACGCAGGCTGAGGCTCCAACTGTGGATTAATCATGTAATCAATTCTAAACCAGTCCTCTACATCTGCAGTCCCCAAGCCCCAGGCCGAGGACTGGTACCCGTCCGTGGCCTGTTAGGGACCAGGCTGCACAGCAGGGGCTGAGCGGCAGGGAAGCGAGCGAAGCTTCACCTGCATTTGCAGCCGCTGGCATCACTGCGTGAGCTCCGCCTCCTGTCGGATCAGCGGCGGCGTTAGATTCTCATAGGAGCACCAACCCTACTGTGACCTGCGCAAGCGAGGGACCTGGGTTGCGGCTCCTCGTGAGCATCTAATGCCTGATGATCTGGGGTGGAGCTGAGGCGGTGGCGCTAGCGCTGGGGAGCGACTGCAAACACAGGTGATCATCAGCAGAGAGGCCTGGCTGCACAGTAAATGTATTACCCTTGCATCATCCTGAAACCAACCCCCCTGCCAGTCTGTGGAAAAATTGTCTTCCATGAAACCAGTCCTTGGTGCCAAAAAAGTTGGGGACTGCTCCTCTAACATCTGATTCCCTCTTCCTTTCCAACTAGTAATATTGACAAAAACCAAGCTCTGTGTGTTTTCTAACTTATTAACCAGCACAGGTAGGTGGAGAATTCTTCTCGTGGGCAGTGTGTATTTGCACGGATGATAACAATCCAGTAGCAAAAGCCCTGGAGGGAGAGGAAGGAAGATGGCGGCCTGGAGACATTGGTCACTAGATCATCTCAGAGAGAAGGAAAAGTTTTAGATGGAAAAAAAGTATCGCCCATGTGTAATTCTGAGGAAGAAGTGCCAGAATCTACCAAAGAGCCCATGGGGAGAAATTGCAGAGCAGGACAAGAAGGAGTACAGTTTCAGCAGAGATTACCTCTGAGGAATCTGGAGCCCTGTGGACAGGGCAGGTGGGATGTTTGTTTTTCCTCCTCCACGTCTCTAGCAGACTCGAGGCTCCCAAACTGTTGGACCCCAAAAGCTGCTTGCTGCCCGTGAACTGGGAGCTTTTTTAGAACAGAGCACTGGACTGCCAGCCTCTTGGGGGTCACTACCACTAACCACAGCCCCGGGCTGAGGTGGCAGGTGCCATGCTCCTTTTCTGCCCATTGTGTGTCCTTTTCCTCCCCAAGGAGATTCAGACCGTCAGTTTGCTTGTCACTGATACCCCCTCAGACGTTGCCCAGTGCCTGCCCAGACTGCAGCGGCCCCAGGGGACCAGTGGATCCTGGGGAATCTCTGTGATCCCAGAGCTTGGACATTCAGGGCGGGCTGCCTTCGGGAAGGATGGACAAAGGGGACCAGAGTGCCAGCCGTCCCCAACTCAGAGTCTTTTCTATCTCCCCTTCTCTGCCCACAGCTGCTGATGCAGCCATGGCAGTTCCCACATGATCCAGCACGGGTGCCCCTAGGGACAATTGAGCTGGGGCTCTCAGGAGCAGCTGCTGCCCCCCCCCCACACACACCAAGGCTTCCACAGAGAGTGGGGCTCACACCTTTCCTCTTAAAGACCTGCAGCGAACCAAGGAGTGCTAGGACTGTGGGCTGAGAGCACTGTCGGCCCTCCCCTGTGCTGCCCACCTGGCTGCTCCAGCAGAGCAGGGTAGACCCTGAAGCAGAGGGACATCAAACCTGCCTGAGCCCTCCATGGGCACCTCCAGACCAGCACGCTTCTCCCTGGCACAGTCAGGGAGTGACCTTGGGGAGAGAGAAGGCCTGAGAACAGGCCTGCAGGCCAGATCGCAAACACCCAGGACTCGATTGTGGTGCTCCAGAGCATGGAACAGAGATTTGTGAACTAATCTCGGGAGGTGAGAGAGCCCACATTGGAAAAACTGAAAGGAGTGTGCAGGGCACCCCTAGCCCCACAGGAGGGCTAGACATGAGAGATGGAGGGTGGTCAAGGTTGACTTCCAGGTTCAGGGCTTGGACAATTTCAGGGACAGTGACTATGTGACTGAGATACAGAGAACACTGGAGGCGAATCAGTTCAAGGGAGGCAGTATGATTGAACCAGTTTCAGTTGCATGTGATCAGGAATGTGATTTGATCATATATCTTTGAGACCAGGGGTTGAGATGGTCTGGAGCCCCACATGAACCCTACACTGAGGTGAAAGGGGTGAGTCCCCAGCTGAGAACTAGAGTCCTTAGCCCTTCATTACATCCTTCTGTGATCACATAGCTGAGGTTACTGCATTTTGGAGTTAGCAGGAAATTACTGGACCTAAAGATGTCTGATGTCTTCTGGTGCCTGTCGGACCCAGGTTGGATTATGAGTTTCTCTGGGTCCCTGATTGAACCATGGACAGCAGGATCTACAGTCTTTATCCATCATGTGCCCCAAGTTGACCCTAAGGTCATTGTGCAGGTAAGAAGACTAACCTTCCAATATCAACAAACTCTCACAAGAAACCCATGTTTCCAGGCTAAAAGCTAGACCCTGCTAAGAAATATTTTATTGAGCAAAGAAGCCCATGAGTGTAAGGCAGGCGTCTTCAAACTACGGCCCGCGGGCCACATACGGCTTGCCGAGGACATTTATCGGGCCCGCCGGGTGTTTTTGCCACCGCTGCCTGTCCTGCTTAGCAGCCTGCTCATCCCGGGCCCACAGTGCGCATGTGTGGAATGTGCGCCGCACTCTCCAATGGTCTGAGGGACAGTGAACTGGCCCCCTGTTTAAAAAGTTTGAAGACCCTTGGTAAGGTAACCCTAGTTCTAGGCTTCTTAAAATGTGGGGCATTGAATCAGAGTCATTGCATCAAAATGTAACCTGGAAGAAAATGCATATGACCAGGCCATCCCCCAGACCTGTGGATCAGACTTTGTAGACTTGGGAGGTTACAGACACAGATATGACTAGATACAGGTGACATGTGGAAAGGCACCCTTTGGGTGGGAGCATTGGGCCAGGAGTGAAAGTAGAACTAAAATTTTAAAAGGGGCTACAAATGTGCGATATTGCAGAGGCAGAAGCCAGGGAGCGAAAGCTGATTGGGTCCAGGAAGAGAGAGTCTGAGAGTGGAGGCAAAGCACATTATACCTCATCAGAGATCTGCATGGAATACATAGGTATTCCCATTTTACAGATAAGGAAATAGAATTGCAGAGGATTTAAGCAAGAGAATTTAAATTCAGATCAGGCAGACCCCCCCAAACCCACATTCTGCCCCCTTTTTTACTTTACTGTTCCTCACTCTGCTAGTGTATCTCCACCCTGATCTGAAACTCAGAAAGATAATAGTGAATATGTATTCTTTAAACAATAAGTAATCTGGCTGCAAACAACCTCAACCTTCCTAAAGTTAGTTCTTGCTCCTCACCAATGGGTCTAAATAAGTCATATTATTTGACTTGCCTGAAACGTTTCTTCAGCTCCTGAGACTTGGTTTCCTGTTTTTCCTTCTATCTCGAAGAGCAAACCCTGTTTCTCCACCTGTACACACCGTTTCCATTTGCTAATGTCCCCACTAAATGCCACCTCTTCCATCGAGCGAGCTCCCTGGACCACCCAACCAGAAGGAATATTTCCCTCTGCTGTGTTCTTACAGAACCTTCTTCAAATCTCTCCTAGGACATCTACCAACTTCTGCATGATCATTGAGTCCTGTTTTATTCCCTCTGTTAGAACCTGCCCTCCATGGGAGTTGGGACACTATCTCACTCTTGTTGTATTCCCCCAGCAGTACCCGACACATACCGTGTGTGAAATTCATGCTCAATACACATATATTGAACGAATTAACAAATAAATAACCTGGCTATCCAAGAGAGTAGATCAAGACTAAACTGCTAATAATAGACTGGTATTTTTTTAAGCTTAACTGTTAAAAATAAAACTTGTTCTCTCTTGATTTTCCAGGCGTTGTTCAAATACCCCATCACCCAACTCCTGGGGGTGCCATCCATCTTCCGAATGATTCTGCAGCAGAATTTCGCCAGGTAGGTAGAAGTGGCCGGTAACAGCAATCTTTGGGTGGGATTTTGAGGAATCGGAAGCATCTCGGTTTGTTTTTCCTCTGGTTCTTTGAGGAGTGTGTGTGTGTGTGTGTGTGTGTGTGTGTGTGTGTGTGTGTGTAAGTGTTGATGGTGATAATTATTAACCAGTCTAACTAATTAAAGCAGGACCCACAGATCTAAGAGAAACACTCAGTGAGCCTTACATCACAGTGGGATTATTCTTCTTTTAGACATTTTTATTGTGAAATAGCAAACATACAGGAAAATACATACGACATAAATTTACAGATGGATGAATTGTTGAAGAGAAAACGCCCACGTAAGCATTGGCCCAAGTCACAAAGATATAATATTGCCAGCACCCCAGAGACTTCCACATGCCTCCCCATGTCCCCTAAGGGATCCGCTTGCTTGATTTCTATGGTGTTCACTTCCTTACTTTCCTTTATTGTTTACCTCCTAAGGCAATATCCCAAAACAAAACAAAAAAAATTCCATTTTACACACTTTTGGACTTTACATATGTAATTGCACACTATTCTGTAATACCTGGAACACTATGTCTCTAAGATGTGTCCATGTTGTTGCATATTGCAATAGTTAATTTTCATTACTGTATAGCGTCCCATTTTATGAAAATACCACAAGTTTTTACATCGATCCTACCAATAATGGACATTTGGCTAGTTTTCACTTTGTAGTTTTTGACGATTAATGTTGTATTGAGATCTGGTACATGCACCCGGACGGATATAAGCACACATTTCTCTTGAGTTTTTCCAGGAGAAGAATTGCAGATCAAACTGATACTACAAAATACCACACTACTTTTCAAAGTCTAAAACCAATTTATGCCCCCACTGGCAAGATGAGAGAATTCCCATTGTTCCACATCCTTGCCAACACTTGTTATTGTCAGAATTAGTTAATACTAATTTTTGCCAATCTGATGGATGTGTTATCTTACTACGGCTTTATTGTTGCATTTCCTTGTGTTTTGGGGGTTAATTTGTAGCTAACCTGAAACCATCCTTTTGAAACCGATGGACATTTACGTATCTTTCAGAGACTCTGAAATTGACATGACTACTTCAAAAATCACAGCTAACATGTTTTAGACCTAAGAGTTAAAATATCAAAGAGTTTAGTGATTACCCTTACAGAGCTAACTCTGAATTACAGCCAAGTTGGTTTTACATATGAAGCCTCAGTCTGGCTGTATTCTGTTTCCACCTGTATTTCAAAGCTCATTTTACAGCCACATTTTGCAACATTCCTCAAACGATGGCCTTTGTCTAAATCCAGCAAAAAAAAATCTCATCAGGGCATAACGAATAATTCCACCTGAGATACTGCCTGCTTTGTGTACTTTGGATAAAGCTCCTGAGGAATGAGGAAGACACCCTCAATGACCCTGGCCTCCTCTTCATCACTATTGACTCTGTCTAGACCAGGAGAGGGCGATGAGGGGGGAAGTGGTCCAGATGTTGCCTCTTCCCTCATCACCAAGAGCTGTCGGGGCTCAGCCTCACGTCAGCTGGCTTCATCTGGCTCTCAGACCTCAATCACTAACCCCCACCACTCCCCGTTACCTTCAGGGAATCCAATCATTATTTTGTGATTCTTTAGGGAAACCTCACGGGGAAAACGCAGGCGAGGCTTTGAGTCACATGACGACCCAACGAACTACTGCAAATGTTTGCAGCAGATTCTTCTGTTCTCTCTGAAATTCCTCCTGTCCTGGCTGCTACCTGTACCCTTCTCACTCTGTCGGGCCTTCCCTGATGTCCTGAACCGTTCATTTCTGACCCCTAGGGTGCATTCCCCATTTAGAAATATTAATACGAAAGCCCTCCAGTTAGCATTCCCCGGCCTCCATAGAAGGAAGTGCAGTTCTATTATCACCCTAGTGTGCCCTTGGGGTCTTGTCCCTCGCCCCTTTACGGGTTGTTGAAAACATCCCTCTGAGCCCCATAGAATGCTTCCCTAAGATGAGTTCTGACAAACACCCTTTTCTGTCTCTTGTTACATCAACATCCAAATTTCATCCAAACTTCCCAGATTTAAGGCAATAGCCTCGCCACCACCCACCCATCTCCCGAGAGAGCCAGAAGAGTTCACAGGGACCCACAGGAAACGGGTGACCTCCACCTGGTAAAATGACCGTCAGGTGGATAAGAAAGCAAGGAAGTAGAAAGATGAGTGATCTGGACAAAGAAGCTAGGAACTCTTAACTTATGGAGCCAAGGCCAGCCTGGGCAACATAGCCAGACCCCATCTTGACAAAAAAGAGGGGAATTTTTTTAAAAGTTAGCTGGGCGTGGTGGTGCATGCCTGTAGTCCCAGGCTTGACATCTTGCCTTCCCTGCAAGTCTCAGGTTCCCCACCCTGGAGTACTGCTACACTGGTGGGGAGGCCCAGCTGCCCGAGGAGCTCGAGGAGTGGAAAAGACGGACAGGCCTTCTGCTCTGCGGAATCTACGGACAGTCAGAAACGGTAGGTGGACAGGTCCCTTCTGGCCAGTCAGGGTGTGCTTGGCCACCGAGCCCTGCAGATGTGCTGGAGGACCACCAACACAGGTGTGCTGAGGGCCCGCTGTGTGCACTGCTTTGCTTGAGACCAACGGGAGTTTCCAGAGTTCTAGGCTCATTTGCCCCAGATTGATTTGCAGAAAGAAAATCCACAGCTTATCAACTTATCAAGAGACCTATGTGCTGAAAACCGTTGGATAAAAATGTTTAAGGTGGAGGTGTGTAAGCACTGGGGGCTGCAGCTCACACCTGTAATCCCAGCATTTTGGGAGACCAAAGCAGGAGAATCACTTGAGCCCCAGAGTTTGAGACCAACCTGGGCAACATAGCCAGACCCTGGGCAACATCTCTACAGAAAGGAAGAAAATTTTGTAAAAAGTTAGCTGGGCATGGTGGTGCATGCTGGTAGTCCCAGCTACTCGGGAGAGTGAGGTGAGAGGAGGGCTTGAACCCAGGAGTTGGAGGCTTCAGTGAGCTACGATAGCACCACTGCACTCCAGCCTGATCGACAGGGTGAGACCCTGTCTCTAGAAAAAGAAAAGGGTGTGTGGGGGGTGAGGTGTCTAAGGACACTTTGCCATTGTTCCTGTGATCATTAGCCCAGAGGAGCCCACTCTGTCCTGCAACATGGACACCAGCTGGTCCCGTCACTCCACCATCCCTCCCGAGGGCTGCGAGGCAGGCAGGGGCGGCTCTAAAAGTTCGTTTCTGAGTGTTTAGGAGGACGACACACAGGTTTGATTATGGAATGCTAACAAGGTGGATCGGGGCGGAGACTTTCTGTACACGCCACACACACACACACACACACACACATACACACACACACAGTGTCATCCCAGAGTATCACCGAGCTGCCAGGTGGGTGGAGCATTTAGAGTATCAGGCATGTCCGGAACCTCAGGGGCCTCCTCAGTGACAGTGCGGGTGGGTGTCTGTCTTCCAACACAGGCCCCATCCATTTCCAATACTGGACAGAGCCCCCTCCCCACTAACCCTCCAGCTCACAGAGGGCCGACTGCCACCTCAGACCCTGTAACCGAGTGACCGTTTTAGTCCTGATTCACATACTTGTTTGATATTTCTTTGCCATAAAAATAATAATAATTCAGTTAATTGGTCTGCTTTGCAGCCCTGAAAAACGCTGAGATGCTGGGCCTGCGCTTGAATGGCTCTCGGCTTACATCTGGACAAGGGGGAGGGTGGGCAAGAACACGCTGCACCCACGACTCCAGTCCCGTTGCATCAATTATTTGCAGCAATAGATGCAAATAATTTATTTCTCAAAGCACTTTCACCCCCTATCCACCCACCTGTGCGACAAGTCACATGCCTCCAGGGTGAGCCGTGAGATGTCAGAGGGGAAAGCACTTCCTCACCCAGGAGCTCAGCCCCGGGTCCAAGTCTCAGCCCTGCCAATTACGGCTTTAACACAAGGCAGAGGGCTCTCATCCGAGCTTCTCCATCTCAGCTAAAGTGGGAATTGCAATGCCAATCTTGCCCAGTGTCTATAAAGTAAATGGAAAGAAGTCTACAAAGCTTTGGCCAGTACCCAGCCCGTAGTACCCGCTCACACTGTGGCTACTGTGGTCCTTCGTGGGGATTTTGGTAGGGATGGTGCCAGATGCTGGGAGTGCAGGGGTGAACGGGACAATCTCCAGTCTTGGGATGCTCGTTATCTACCGGGATGCTCGTTATCTACCGAGGGAAACAGACGGGCAAAGATGCCCTGCAGGCTACAGTAGAAGGATGAGGAGAATCTACTACAGAAGGAGAATCTTTTAGCAGACTCTTCCTGGGGCCTGAGTAACAGCTGGTAGTAAGTCATTCCCTGAACACTTGTGGGGGGGGGCCTCCCATGCCCCTACAAGCATGCGGGGAGGTGAGTGTTACAATTACCCCCCTTCGGTGAAGGAGATCAAGATGAGTCGACTGGCGCAGAGTTAGGTGTGATGGAGTCAAGACCCTCATCTGTCTGAAGGTCAGGCGCCCCCCTGTAGAGAGAACCATACTCGAGAGAGCTGTAACGAAGGGGACACACATCAAGAGGACAAACGGGGACAGGGCAGCTCCCGCAGAGAAAGCAATCTAAACAGCCCCAGCACACACGGAGGAGGAGGGGAGGCAGAATTCCTACCATTCGTTGCTCAGCAGCCCTGAAAAATAGTGGTGATTAATAAATAGACTCATGGCTTTCCCTGGGCAAAGGGCCACACGCCTGGCGTACGGTGGGCACTCACTCCACCCCTCGTCACGTGCCCACAGCCCCAGATCACCCGGTTGCTTCTTTCTTTTCCTCCTCACTGAACTCTGTTGGCCCCACACTTAGGACAGCCCCAGCCCATGTTGGTGGCAGCAACTGTCTGCTGAACGGGGTTGAGTCAGCACCCTGAGCGTAGGGTCCAGTTCTTCCAGCTTCCCCACAGCGCCCTTGGTGCAGCGTCTAATAGGATTCCTGCTGCTTTGTGATCAGCTAGACTCTTTGGCCAACCCCGATTCTCTCTTGTTGTGTGTGTGACTAGGGACCGGCCTGCGGCACGCTCCGGGAGACAAAGATCAAGCTGGGTTCCACGGGGAAGGCCCTTTCGCCCTACGACATCCAGGTCTTGTGCTGAGGGCATCGGCAGGGGGCAGTTAGGGCTCAGCGGGGGTGGGGGGGTGGGGGGTGGAGCCGTGGTCGTGTGACACCAGGGGGCAACACCGGCCATGCCCCCCCTGCCCCATGGTTGTTCCTCCTCTCTCCCAATTTTTCCTGCAATTTACCATGGAGGCTTCCGTTAGGAGCCACATGGCCGTGGGCACGGACGCGGTGGATAGGAAAGAACACCTGGCAGCTCTCTCTAGGAACGGGTGCTTTTCTTTTTTCCTGATCCATGTTTTCTAGCTTGAAGACACATCCGCGATGCCTACATAGCTGTGAAGCAAATAGACCCTCGACTTGGGTTTCACATTTGCGGGTTTCAAAGGCTTCCGGCAGTTCTATTTTCCTTCATCGCTGTCCCTATTTGTCCCCACTGGGGCCCCCCGAATGAGCCGGGCAATGCTTGGGGCAGGGGCAGACGGGCTGGGGAGTCCCGCAGAGCAGGATTCATGGGCGGGACTCTTGCTGCAGATCATCGACGACCAGGGCAACGTCCTGCCACCCAACACCGAGGGGAACATGGGCATCAGGATCAAGCCCACCAGGCCCGTCGGCATCTTCCTGTGCTACGAGGTAATGGCCCCTCCTGCTCCCTTCCTGGCCCCCGGGAATCCCTGCAGGGAGTTCTGCAACCTGAGGCTTCTTCAGACCTTCCTCTACCCACGCCGACTCAATGAAGCCTGTTTCACTTAAACTCAAAGCTCCCCGTGTGTCCCCACATGCTCCCCCGTCCTCACTCGCCTGGGACTTACAGGCCGACTGGTCGGGGAGACAGAAGACTACTGGCTCAGAACCTTCAGGCTTGGGTCCCAGTGACCTCCTGTTGTTAAGAATATAGGCTATATTTAAGTTTACAAAATGCTGGCGAGGATGCGGAGAGACAGGAACACTCTTACACTGCTGGTGGGACTGCAAATTAGTGCAACCTTTGTGGAAAAGAATTTGGAGATACCTCAAACAGCTAGAAATAGAAATACCATTCCACCCTGCAATAGCATTGTTGGGCATCTCCCCAAAAGAGCATAAGTCACTCTATTACAAAGACATCTGCACCCGAATGTTTATGGCTGCACAATTCACTATTGCACGCTCATGGAAACTACCCAATTGCCCGTCAATTCATGAGTGGATAACTAAAATGTGGTATATGCTCACAATGGAATATCACTCAATCCTAAGAAACGTTAGTGAGCTAGCACCGTTTATGCTATCCTGGATTAAGCTTAAGCCCGTAATAGAAAGCGAGACGACACAAGACCTGGAAAATGGGCTACACATCTACTCGCCATCAAATTGGTACTGACAAACTAAAACTATGGTGCCCCAAAAATTGTAGTGTTCAATAGGGATTTGGGGGAGGGAGACCCACATCTTAAGGATGTGGTGAGCATTGTAGGGGGGAAGGGATTACCTCTATCCCTTTTTAAGGAGAGGCAGAGATACACACTATAACCAAAATGTCTAAAATATCTGTTATTGGGAGGTGGACAGGTGGAAGGGGGGAGGAGGGGAAGGGTACGCACTTACATGGTGGGTGCAGGGCGCACCACTTGGAGGCTGTGGGCACACTTGAAGCTCTGGCATAGCAGGGTAGAGAGGGGGGGCAGGGGCAAGATATGTAACCCTAACAATATTTGTACCCACAGAATATGAGATAATAAAAAAATGTTTTAATAAATTTTTTAAAAAAGAATATAGGCTATATTTAAGTTTACTTAAAATAATACCAACCTCATAGGCTTTCTGTGAGGATCAAATGAGGTAGTATTTTGGGAAGAAGACTCATTCAGTGTATCGACTGCTCTCACCTGCCCAGGCACTGTGTGAATGCTGAGCTCATAGCAGTGAATAAAATAAACTAGCTTCATGCTATAATGGGAATTTTATTCTAGCTGATTACCACATAGGAGTGAGTTGTTATTTTTTAGAAATTGTTTAAAACTGGTTTGATAACATCCACTCATTGAGCAGTAGCATTCATCGAGTGCTTACACGTAGTGAAAATAGACTCAAAATGGTTGCAAAACTTGCCCTGGTACCAGATAGCACCAGAGGCAGAGTTCAAACCCAGATCTGAACTTGAGGTTGTGGCTTATCGTGTCAAAATTCACTGCCCATTCAAACGGGCTCTGTCCTCTTTGCAGGGTGACCCAGAGAAGACAGCCGAAGTGGAGTGTGGGGACTTTTACAAGACCGGGGACAGAGCAACCATGGATGCAGAGGGCTACATCTGGTTCCTGGGGAGAGACGATGACATCATCAATGCCTCTGGGTACGGGAGGCTGACCCCAGGCTGGCTATTGTCACCCTCGCCTGCCTCGTGGGATCTTGCTCGCCCAGACATTCCTTCGTGCATTGGTGGTGGGACCCTCAGTCCAGTTCTGAATAGAGCCATGTCTGTGGTGCCCCTCCCCCAACCCCTGCGTCCAGAAGAATCAATCAAAATGAAATTCAAGAGGGTCTGAAAGAGAAACCATAAAGAGACATCGTGCGATTTAAAGACAAGGGGAACAGGATTGGGAAGTGAGACTCTCTTTTGGTCCCCATAAGTTAGGGGAGCTTATTTTCTTCTGTTTGTGCTCCTCTAAGGTGGCACGAGATGTCACAGGAGAAGCATCATCATAATAATAGCTAACCTTTATGCAGTACTTCCTACGCGGAAACTCTCTCCTTGGTGCCTTATATAACCCACCTCTCAACACTAGAAAGGAGATGCAATCATTATCCTCATTTCGCTGATGGTAAAACTGCCGACCAGCGAAGAAATTTGCCTGAGGTCTCAAAGACAGTACACAGTGGAACCCAGATTTGAACTGAGTTACTCTGGCTCTGAGCCCTTGTCCTTGACCCCTATGTGATTTTAAAAAAGAAAGAAGAAAAGACCCATTACACCAGAGTAACAATTTCTCTTGAATATTTCGGAGAAATTGAAGTGATTTTTTTGATTGCTAAAACATGCTGATATACATATATATATATATACACACCTGTGTGCGTTTGTGTGTGTGTATAAAATGCTGGAAATTTATTGAAAGTAGATTTTAAGTGTTCTTAACACAAAAAAGGTAATTGTGTGAAATGATGGATATGCTAATTTGAGTCACTATAGTAATCCTCTTACTATGTGTATATATATATATCATGCTATATCAAAGCATGATGTGGGCTGATTTAAAAAAATCACATTATACACCTTAAATATACACAATAAAAGCCAAAAAATTAAAATAAAGTGAAACACAGTGTGATACAATGGGCAGTAGGATGCAGAATTCTCACCAATGTTAAAGACAAAGTTTGAGGCTTCTCGGAGGTGTCCTGCCGGGGAAGCCACTTGGGCCGAGCACCCCGAGCTCTGGGAGCCCCATTGTTCACCCTCCTTCCTCGGGCAGCACCCGAGCCCCGTGTTTTTAGCACAGGCTGTTCAGGTCTTCACATTCGGGGTGCATGGCACAGGCAGGTCACTGGTCTGTGGCTCGCTATGTCCCTCCCCCTCTGTGCCAAGGGCAGGTGTGACCGTCCAAAGCCGGAGAGTTGAGGACTTAGCCCGCCCCAGGCCTGGCCGGTGCCTGGCTCAGAACCGCGAATCCTCCAGGTACCGCATCGGGCCGGCGGAGGTGGAGAACGCGTTGGCGGAGCACCCTGCGGTGGCGGAGTCAGCCGCGGTGAGCAGCCCGGACCCGACGCGAGGGGAGGTGAGCAGGACCCCGAGGTCGCCGTGTCTGCACGTGGGCACTGGGCGGGCCGGCGCGGGGCGGGGCAGGGGGCGGGCTTCCAGGCCTTGGACCTAGGGTGGAGGGAGAGCACGTGGGGTGCAGGTGCATTTGCACGGTATGGTCAGCAGGTCGCAGCGCGGCCCTGCCTGTGGCTCTGATGATAACCAAGTCATTTAACTCCCACAAAACCCAATAATCCAAGAACTCTTACCTTACCCTCTCTGCACAGATGAAGAAAGAGAATCATATGGAGGTTAAATAACTTGCTGCGGCCGGGCGTGGTGGCTCACGCCTGTAATCCTAGCACTCTGGGAGGCTGAGGCAGGAGGATCGCTCAAGGTCAGGAGTTCCAAACCAGCCTGAGCGAGACCCCGTCTCTACTAAAAAAATAGAAAGAAGTTAATTGGCCAACTAATATATATAGAAAAAATTAGTCAGGCATGCCAGGTGGCACATGCCTGTAGTCCCAGCTACTCGGGAGGCTGAGGCAGGAGGATCGCTTGAGCCCAGGAGATTGAGGTTGCTGTGAGCTAGGCTGACGCCATGGCACTCACTCTAGCCTGGGCAACAAAGCAAGACTCTGTCTCAAAAAAAAAAAAAAAGAAGAAAAAGAAAAAAATTGCTGCATCACACAGCTAACAAGTAATGGAGCTGGAATATAAATCTCAGCAGTGTGGCACGAGAGCATGCTTCAATAAGTGTTTATTGAGCATCTGCTATGTGCGAGGCTTTGTGCAATTAAATAGGGATATAATTAATAATTTTAAGATAATATTCAACAATTATTAAATGCCCACTGGGTTCCAGGCACAGAAATGCATATACAATAATAGTAAAAATGAGAGTGATGATGGGGATAATAAAATATTTAAACTAGTTGGATGTTTCACATGTATAATCTCATGGAATTTTTACAGGAACCCTATGAAGAAGGAATCTTTTTTTTGTCCCCATTTCGCAGAGAAGGAAACTGAGGTTAAGGAGAGGTCATTTTTCAAGGCACAGAGTGGAAATTGGAAGTGCGGGCATCTGAACCTGGTCCTTGCCTTCTCCAAAGCCCACGTATTCTTAACCGCTGTGTGCTCCAAACGTCAACTCGCCTCTCCCCTCACTCCACAGACATTTGCTGATTAAACTGTATCATAGGTTGTCACTCACTAGGAGCCTCCTCTGCTCTCATCCTGCAGGTGGTGAAGGCATTTATTGTCCTGACCCCGCAGTTCCTGTCCCACGATCGAGCCCAGCTCACCAGGGAGCTGCAGCAGCACGTGAAGTCCGTGACGGCCCCATACAAGTACCCGAGGAAGGTGAGCGAGGGCGGATGGATGGGACTGGTGTCCCTGAGTAGCTCCTGGGGCTCGGCTGCCCCGTGTCTCATCGTGTGGCTATGCAGGGGGAAGCTTAGGCAGCCAACAGCACTGGCTTTGTCCTCCGCAGAAGCAGCGGTTTGGCTTGGGGATGGGATGGAGCAGTTGACTTATTTGAATGGCAACTGCTGTCCCTTGTCAGACACACACAAAAAAGCAATCACGGCAGGTGTGTTAACCCTAAAGAAAAAAATCAGACAGCCCCCAAACATATTCAAAAAGGTCATTTGTAATCCTGCAAAATCTGCAAAAGGAATCCAAATCAGCGGCTTCCAAACTATTTTTAACACGATTCCTAGTAAGATATATATTCTACGTTACATATTTATTTCACATCTATATCTTATGTATATATGAATGAAAGTTAACAAAATGATATTTATTTTACAACATGCAATACATTGTTATTTTTACTCTACTTCATTTGTTCTAAATGCTGTGTGCAACCTACAAAAATGTCCAACAGTAGAGAAATTACCAAATTATCCGTTGAATTGAATATTATCCTGTAATTTAAAATGATGATGCAGATCTTTTGAGATAAAAATGCCTCAACAATATATTAATAAGAGACAAACACAGTTATGAAAACAATATCCGTAGTATTATCCTGCTTAAAAATAAAGTCTGAAAGGATCTATGTAGGCCAACGGTCAGCATTTCCGCCTTCGTGATGCTTTGCTGCGTTGCCTGAATGTTCGGCATCTTTGCTCATAATGAAGCCACGCGGCTGACGTGGGTCGAGCGCGTGCTGTGTGTGCCAGGCCCCGGGCTCGCTGCTCTGCGGGCACTGAGATGTCTTCACTTAATCCTCTCCGCAGCCTGAGCTAGTAGAGCCAACCCACTTTACAGAGATGAAACTGAGGCTCAGAGACTCAAAGATTGTCGCCTGGGGTTGCAGTCACTCAGAGGCAGAGCTGGCGCTGGACCTGCATGTGGTTGACAGCAGAGTCCATGTCCCGGCAGTTGGCCGGGCCGATGCACAGGGGTAGCATAGATGGTGCAAGCCAGTCGGGATGGGGCAGAAGTCACCGGCGGTAACAAACAGCCCCAAACAATGGAGGTTTACAACGATGGAGGTTTCTTTCTTTCTGGTGCTACATGTCCCCCGTGGCTCCCCTGGGACCTGAGCTTCTCATCCTCTCATCCTGGGACCAGGGCACAGGGGCAGCCACCATTCAGGCACCTGCCAGGTGCTATAAGAGATGGAGGAGAGGGTGGCCAGTCCAGTGGCTCCAAACGCTTGTGCCTAGAGGTGACACGCTCCCCTCTACCCCCCTCTTATGGGGCAAAGCCAGTCACATGGCCACATCCAACTTCGGGGTTCAGGAATTAAACCTGAAACACTCAGTGGGCCCCACTAAGGCCACCACATGGTGGCCTCCTGTGGGGGGGGGCACTGTGGAGAGGCCGAGGAGGGGTGGAGAATTGGTGGGAAACGACAGCAGGACTGAGCCCCGACCAATTTGCTTTGTCCTCAACCAGGTGGAGTTTGTCCCGGAGCTGCCCAAAACTGTGACGGGCAAGATCAGACGGAGCGAACTGCGGAGAAAGGAGTTCGGTTTGATGTAGCCGGCAATAGCGCCAGAACCCACCGTGCGCCCCGTGCAAGCTCCTGGCAGCTTCGGTCTCCTCACGGTGGGGGGTGGGGAGGAGGGGGTCTCGAGAGGGCTGCTTTGGAAGGGTGTCGGGACCACCAAGACACCAGTAATTTTGTTCATTTAAGCTAAATGCAGTTACTATCTGTCCCCCAAGTCCTGCGTTCCTTTAGGGGTGGCGCAGGCGAGCACTCGGGTTGGGGGTGCGGGTAATAAAACACTGACGTCAGCGGCCCGCCCTGCTGTGCCTTTGTGCTGTGGATGCAGCGATCCCCCAGGGCCAGATCCTCCCTCCGGCCATGCACCCTGGGGTGGCCCCAGTGCCCACTCAAAGCCAGGACACAGGTGTAGGAGGAATGCTCCACCAGGCTCCGGGCACCTGCCCTGCCCTGGGGGAGGCCCCGGGGGCCACGGCAGGGGGTCGCCCAGGGTGACCAGCCCTGGCCTGGTGGCCACACTTGCCGGGCAGAGCACACCCACCTCCACCGCCCCATGCGCCCTCTGCCTTTGTGTCCCCAGTAGTGCTGCACCGCCGCGTCACTCAGTGTGAGCCAGCGAGAGCTCGGGAGCTGGGAAAGGGGAGCTGGGTTGGGGAGGATGGGAGGTCAGAAGGTCAGCGAAGGTTGCAGAGAGGACCCTCCTTGGGACAGCACCTGGTGAGGGGAGGGGTGGGGGAGGGGTGGCCTCAGAAAGAGGTGAGGTGGCAAGAGGGTGTCCGCTGTGATGCCCCAGGGCCAGGCAGGGGATTTGCGCACCAGGAGTATAAAACACCCGGTTGCTAGAGCAGGGACCACACGGGAGTAAGGTTTGGAGGGTGGCGGAGCTCTGCGCCCCTCCAAATTATCCTGAGAGTCCCACTCACCTGCCCCTCGCAAACTGCTATTCGGCTGCCCTGCTCTCGCCCGGACCAGTTGCTAAGCCCTCCTCACCCCACGCCTCGAGAACTTGGCTTGACCCTGACACTTCCCCAGACACCCCCTTCTCCTCCTCCTCCTGCCGGGTGCCCAACACCGCCCTCCGCTCCACACTCTCCCCTCCCCCACCGCCTCCCCAATTGCAGCCCACCCCCATTCTGAGCCCCCATCAGTCCCCCCAAGCCCCGGACCCACCCCGCCTCCTCCTGGCGACTTCAGGGTGGCCTGAGAGGACCTGGACATGGAGGTGAAGAGGCTGATCTTCTGGCCCCTCCTACTCACTGCCGTCTGTAACCTGTCCGCGAAGGTGGGCAAACACCGGACTCGCGACCGTCTCTCCCTTATGTTGGGCTGTGTCACACTGTGGTTTACATAACAGCACTTCACGGGGGTTATGATGGGAGCTCTGTCCTTCCTGCCGACCAAGGACCTCAGTGAGGGTGTCCTGAGCAACCTGGCCGCTCTGCCCACACCTGTGCACATCAAGGTGGGCTGGTCCAAGCACAGGAAAGGGTGACAACGTGGAACGTGGACATAGTAACTGTGCGCTGTCATACAGGAAGGATTGGGGAATACACTAAAAGCCACTGAATTGTAGCATTTACTGGTGGGAATTGCATGGTATGTGACTACATCTCAATAAAGTTGTTTTAGAAAACATAAAGAATTCTTTTTCAATAGGCTTCATGGGCGTTTGACTGGCTCCTGGAAGCCCTGTGTGAGATCTTCCTCAACTCCTGCAGGTTTCGTGCTGTCCCATGTGCAGTTGTTTCCCTGCGAGTCCGTCATTCGCATTTGGGAGCTTGGCAGCCCTGGGAACAGTGGTACCGAATCACTGGCGTTAGTACTAGTGTGTTGAAAGTGAATTGTCACTTGTGCTTTGTGTTCTCTGGTTTGTTGAGTTTTAGGAACTTCTGAGTCATTCCTTCCTTGTGCTCTTCAAAGCTGCCCCTATGGACTCTATGTCCAACCAGTTTGTTGGGGGCGCTGAGAAGCCCAACAGATGTGAAAATCCGTGGCTGCTCCCTGCTGGGATAATTAAAATGGGGAAATACCTAGGAGTGACATGACAAGGAGGTGAGGGAGTTATTGTCCTTTATTTTGTAAAATGTGTCATGTGCAGATTATTGATTTACCCAAAACAGAAAGGGCCTTTAAAGTCTTTAGGATTGTCCAAATGCGAAGAAATGATAGGTTTCTAGTTTGAAAGTTTTCACTCTCCCATTAGAAAACAACACCCTTATGCCCCGGGCAGGGGTCGGGGAGAGAGGTGGAGAGGAGATTTGTTGTGATGGGCAGCACCACATTCTCAGAGAGGGATCTGGAACATCCAGTGACGGGGAACGCCCATCACACTGAGGCAGAGTCATCCCCCGGGAAGACCTCCAAGCAAAGAAGGATCTACTCTGCTTCTTTTGAGTCTACTAAGGAGGACATGTTTTGATAATCTGAGGTTTGCTTTGGAGGCCTTCAAATTTCCTTTAATTCAAAGCATTCAGTATGTGAAAGGGCCATATTTTGGGATACCATCTGGAAACAGAAGGTATCACTTCTCTTTCAACTTTGGTTTAACTTTAAATTCATTCCACCTCCCATAGTTGTTTTTCTCCCTTATATTTCACCGAGCCTCCTAGTTCACACGTTCTATGAACTGCCCACATTCACAGCAAGCTTCATATATGTGCCATTTTCTTTCTCTCAGGAGTTAGACGCTTGAAGATTGGTTGTTTCTAGCACTATAAGATAGGTCGTTTCTATCACTATAAACAGTTGTTTCTAGCACAATAAGATAGGTGTTTCTAGCACTGTAACCAGTATTTTTGAATTCTGACTTTTTATTCCATATTTACGTAGATCAATGAATCAAATGAATGGCTTCAAGATGGGAGGAAGAGAGGGGTAAATGATTATTTTCCATACTCCACTTAAATTTAAGGTAGAATCCATTGTTTTTGCCTGATTTACATTCTGAAACCAAAGAGAAATTTAACACATAATTGTAGGTGGATCAATTTTTTGAAGTATCATATCAAAACATCTGAAGGAACTGATAAAATTGCAAATGAAATAATTCCAACTACATGTGCTTAGGTTTCAATTTGAGAGAGGTCAGAAAGTCAATAATGCGAGCTTGGTAAGCAGTTGGCTGCTAAGTGTGACCACAATTGGGCTTTTGAGCCTTTTGGTCCATTGGGTGAACGGAGCTCTACATTTTCTCTTGCTGTTCCCCACAGTAAAAGTGGGGGCATCTGGGGATTGAACCCCTTTCTGAACAATAATCTGGAATTGAATTACTGATAGATAACACAACAACTTTTTGTACTCAAACAGGAACTGTATTTTATTTGTATGACCTGGGTAATTAGGACATCATTTAGCACTCCCCGAACTGAGGAAACATACAAGACACGAAGGAGGACATCTAGCCAAGGTGAACAGTCCCTGTTCCTCTTAGTGCTGAAGAAAGGATTTTCAGCGGGAATTTGTGGAAGTTTTAAATGTTTCATTTTTAAAATATTCCTTTAAGAAAAGCCATCCCATTAAGTTCTGTTTGAGCTGTTTGATCTGAACAACTTCCTACCTTCCTCGCTTTCTCCTCATAATCCAGTCACCCATTCTGTCACCGCGTAAGCAGGAAGGTGGTGGGTGCCACCAAATACTCATGCCTCATGGTGTATCTTTGCTCCTCATTTCCTTATGCATTTGACATTTCGCCTAGCCCCAAACTAGATCAACCAATTTCCCATGAAACACAGCAGTAATGGTAGGGTACATGCGGTTGCCATTTCATCTTTTCAGCGGATCACCCAGTGTTTCTATCGAAATCCTAGTGCATGTTCTGCTTCTATCCTACGAGCAGATGCTAGAAAAAGAACATTCTGCAGAGAGGTTGAATGTGTGTTACTTCAGTGAACCTGTCTGATATTTCTGAGGTAAATGACCTATGTTCGCCCAGGACTTTCATCATATATCTTAGCTTTGATAATCTTTCAGGGCCTAGGGGCAGGTACGGTGGCTCATGCTTGTAATCCTAGCACTCTGAGGGGCCCAGAGGGGAGGGTCCCTAGAGCTCAGGAGTTCAAGACCAGCCTGAGCAAGAGTGAGACCCCGTCTCTTAAAAAAAAAAAGAATCTTTCAGTTCATAAAAGATCACAATAATATGTGATCTTTTCATAATATGGAATTTTCATCCTTGGGAATTTAGTCATTAGTGAGAGTGTTTTGCATTATGTTCAAATTCCCCTTAATGAAGCTGGTGTCAGGGAAGGGAGCATGAAATCTGGAGGAAGCAGGGACAGAAGGAAACTGCGCAGCCGAATGGCAAGGAGGAGCAGGTGACAAAAACTTACACCTGTAAATTACGTAACCCGGAGAACTGAACATAATTACTTCCTTTCTAATTGCAAAATTGTTTTTCACTGCAGTAGAATACTCATCACACAATAATAACCATCCTAACCTCGTTCGAGTGCACAGTTCAGTAGTGTTACGTGTATTCCCGTTGTTGTGCAGCCATTACTTCTTAAGTGACTTTTCTCAACATCTGTCTTAACGTCAGGATACGCAAAGGACAAATTGGAAGAGTCAAACCCGGGAGCCTGGAGGTCTAATAAGTGTCACCTGGAAGGTATGCTACTTGTGGGGAGGAAGTCCCCAGAGAGTGGAAACGAGTTTTCCCTGGGAGGTGAAGAAGGGCTTCCTGCCTGCAGGATTCTCACCTCCTTTCTCCACCCCAGCCGAGTTTTCAGGTCCTCCTGCACACGCACGAAGACACCTGTTTTGTCCATTCTGGGAATTGAAAAGAACCTGGAAGACAACGTGCAAGCAACGGGGAGGCTAAATTCAGATTGCCTAAGACAAAAGCAGAAAATCTTTATGAAGTGTAGACACACAAACAGCAGCTGCAGCAGAAGAGTAAGATGTTCACGTGTTCCCGGATACCAATGCTGTCTACGGTGTGAACGACGTGTGGATCAACACAGACAGCTGTGGTTTCATTTACAATAGTTTTTGCAGCCTTTGTGGCTAAGCCGGTAAAGCCTTGTGCTTGTCAACCCTGCCTTGATTTATGCGAAATGCATGTTTTTCTTTCTCTTCATGCACTCTCCTTTGTAGTTTATTTGGGGCTGCAGGAGGTAGTGATGCCAACATTGTTTAACTTCACTACCTGGATCCTTTTATATAATCTTTTAGGTTTCCATCATATCCCAGTGTATTGTCCTTTGAAATGTGTAGTCATTTTTTATTAAATGCAAGACACTGGGTAAAAAATATATAGACAAAAATTGAGACCTAGTACGATGTTATCCTGCTG